ATTTCTGTTTCTCAGCCTCTACCTCTATACTCATTATCTAGTAAATACACATATAATCGGAAACAAGGATGCACTTAAGAGAGAACATACAGTGTTTATCATTTTGCATCTGAATGACCTCAGTATGTCTTCCAGCTCCACCCATTTTCCTGCAAATTGCATAATTTTACCTTTCTTTATGTTTGAATAAAATTTCACTCTCTGTATGTGTTCCATATTTTAATTATCCATTCATTTGTTTGTGTATATCTGGCTAGATTCCATTTCCTAAGTCTGTAATTAGAGCAGCAACAGTATATAGTATGTGGTATCTCTGTTGTAGGATATAGAGTCCTTTGGGTGTATGACAGGTATGATAGAACCAGATCATGTGAGTGCCTGACTTTCAGCTTTTTTGAGAAGTCTCCACCCTGATTTACAGTAGCAGAATCAAGTCACACCCCACTTACAGTGAATAAGGGATCATTTCCCCCACATCTTCACCAGTGTTTGTTGTCATTTGTTTTCTTGATGATAGCTGAACCGATTAGGGTTTGATAGACGCTCAAAGTAGTTTTAATATGTGTGTCTGAAATAGCTGAGGATGCTGAGCCATGTTTTAAAATGTTTGCTAGTTGTTTATGTCTCTTCTTCCGAGAACCCTGGGTTTATTCCATAGCCCACTTTTTATTGGAATATTTGTTTTCTTGTTGTTAAGTTTTTAGCTTCTTTGTATATTCTAGGATGGATGGATAGCTAGACAGACTAACAGACAGATAGATAGATGGAAAAGATTATCCACCATTCTGTAGACTCTCACTTCAGATGGCTGTTTCTTTTGCTGTACATCAGATTTTTAAACTCATGAGGCCTTCCTTGTTGATCTTATTTTTTCACATGGAAGTCAAAATATGTGTGGCTTTCCTATGAATAACCTGTTATCTCTTCACAGTCAATATACTGTGTGTGCAGTTCAGACCTCTGCACAAGACGTTTAGAACTAGGAGAGAGGCCTTAGAATAATGGCACTTATTGATTGTGTGTGACATTTCTGGGTATCAAGTGTGCTTTAGGTTCTAAATATCTTTCTTTGCCAATATTTACAAAGAACTGAAAGAGTTTGTAAAACCCAGTGAATCACTCCTCGTGTTACCCTAATGACCTTCCCCGCCCAGGGTAAGTTCTCATCCTTACAGTGAACTCCCAAGCAGGATCCGATTTGTATGGTGCCCCCTCTTCCCTTCCTTCCCCACCTTCATCCACCCAACCCTAGTCTTGTTATTGACTGATTTTGTTTCAGTCTCATGGCAGTTGTATCAGTCTTCCTTCTACCTAGAGCACTATCTTCCTGACTCTGCACTGCCTCCCCTCTTCCTGCTCTGCACCTCCACCTCCCTCCTTCCTCTACATCCATCTCTATCTTTACCCCAACATCTTACCCTCTTCCCATTCTGATTTGTCTCTCAATTTCCACAGAATGCTTTTTCCTGACTATAATATATTTTATTATCATATAATGTATTAATGTTATATATTGTACATTAATATGTTATATTAACTAATGTGTTGTATGTTAGCTAGTGTTATATGCCAATTATATATCAATATAATATGGGCATATACATGTGGACAAGAACACTGTAGTTATTTACATCATCATATTTTTAAATTCCTACATGAATTTCTATTTGAATCTATTTATGAATCTCTAAATTTTCAGTGTCTATTTCCTAGGGTTGATTATAACATTCAGGACAACAGGAATCTTGTCTTCTTCGCTGATGGATGTTTTCAGTCCCTTAAATGATGCTTGACTTAAAACAGCTGTAATGATAATTTAAAAAAGGAAAGCGAGATTTGTAGAGGCAAGTTTATCACGTTGACATTGGATTGAGGGAGTGAAGTTGTAGAAATCCTGGACTCATAAGTAAATAACTTAACATAATAAAATACTTCTTCAAGGACAGTAGTTCATGGACAATAACAAAATGAAATTAAATTTCCATTAAAGAAGTGAAAAAGTCCAGAATCTGCAAATAAATACACTATTGTTTTTTCAGGCATAAACTGTTTGCTGGAGTTTGGCCCTGGATATATGAAAAAAGTAGAGCTTCATGAGACATTAAAACTTGAGTCTCAAAAATTAGGACATGGTTATTTATACAAAGCATCAGATGTTTAGTCACTCTGTTTTGGGGAGGTTTTATGGATGTATGGCATAAAATCTCTTGACATTTCAGAATGACAGTAATGGATGGTGAGTGAGGAGGTACCCTTGGAGGAGAGAGAAAAGAAATAGAATTAACTGTCTAAGAGAATATCATGGGGGCAAGTTGGGTTTTATCCTTCTGGCAGATCACTGAAATAATTTGATGCTCAGCCAACGGATATAAAACATATTTTTGGAGTATAAAATCTCAGCATCCAGTTAATTCAGAGACAAATTGGTTTGGAGACCATCACTGATGGGTTCAGGGTAGCTACGGATGTACTGCTGGATCCAACTTTAACTTAGGAGCTGGAAAAATATCAGCTTCTATTTTCCAAGGCTTGCATGTTCATATTTCTTGGCTGTATTTATCTCACCACTTTTCCTGAAAATGTGTTGCTTCTGTGGTGTATAGCTTGATTCCATTTCTGCTAGGTAGGAAACAGGAATCACTGTCCTTGAGAATATTACAACTGAGATATGAATGACAGCCAAGGAAAGCCACATGTGGACACAGACATGCACAAATCTACACCTTCCCAAATGTATCTTTGGCTCGAAATAGAAGGAAATTATATAACAGATACACCTGGACAGTAATTAAGGGACTCAATGACTCTATAGTAAGGTTTCTTCATTTTTGGAGCACTTGTAAGCAAATGTGATGCAATGATCTGTAATATTTCCAGAATGTTATTTCAGGTTATAAGCAGGATTTCACTGTGAAAAGAAAAAGGAAAAGTTCTGTATCATTATTGAATAAAAATATAAATGTTAAGATTTCATTCTTGCAAATATGGAGACTTCTAAGCCCTGTAAAAAGTTTGTGATTTTTCTGTCAGTCATCAAATGTTCCTCAAGAAAGGGGCAATGAGACTAAATCAAATAGTAAGAGCTACATAGTTTTCAGAATAAATTAGAAGATGTTCAAAAATCTCAGTTTAATTTCAAAGTTAATCCACTTTTATGGAAAAAGAAAGTAGTCTTTTAGCCTGGCATTGGTGGCGCACACCTTTAATCCCAGCACTCGGGAGGTAGAGGCAGGCGGATCTCTATGAGTTCTAGGCCAGCCTCATCTCCAGAGCGAGTGCCAGGATAGGCTCCAAAGCTACACAGAGAAACTCTGTCTCGAAAAAAAACAAAAAAAAGAAAGAAAGTAAGAAAGTAGTCTTTTATTTTATATAAAGCTTTTAAACCAAGGAAAATTTGTTTTCAAAAGTAGCTTATCTAGCTTTGGCTGGCCCTACACCCATGTATATATGGGTAGCACTAACTTGACTGAGTGGGTTATCAAAGCATAAAAATAAAAATGAATGAAAAGAGCATGATGGCACATGCCTTTAATTCTAGCACTTCCCTGGGGAAGCAGATGTGGATGGGTTTTTGAATTCCAGACCAGCCAGGGATACATAATGAGACCTTGTCTCAAAACAAAGAAAAACAAACAGGAAGATATGGAATTGGTAATGGGAAGTGCTGTGGATGATATGGGGGGAGTTGAGGGAAGGAATGGGGTTTGGATATTATGATATTTTACTGTGTATAAAATTCTCAAGAATAAAGAAAATGCCCAAATAAATTAGCTAATGTTAGCTCAAGTGATGGTTAATACTACCCATTAATTTGACAAAACTCACCTGGAAGAAGGAATTCTGGCCATATCTGTTGAGGGAGACCATCTTGATTAAGCTCATTGAGGTGAGAAGATATGCCACCATGGGTAGCAGCATTCCCTAGGCAGAAGATTCTGGGCTCTGTAACAGTAAACCAAGTGCTCTAATCACTGGCATGTGTGTCCTAATTCACTGCCCTCTGCTCTTGACCATGGATGTATATGATTATCTGCTTCAGATTTCTGATGCCTTGACATCTTGCAATGATGAATTGTAGAACCCTATCTCCCCTCAGTCACTCTTGTGAACATGTCACTGTAACTGGAAAAGAAAGTAATACAACTTTAGTTGACTTTTTGATAATTTACAAATCAATTATTTACCCTCTGAAAGATTGTGCTCTGTATCAAAAACATTATCTGTTTTAGCTTTTATAGAAATATATCTATAGAGTTAGAGTCCTGTTGAAGTAATATACCTATAGCAACTCATAGCATCCCTATTCTAAGTAGATAAGGAATATAAAAGGACTAAAGTAAATGCACAGGACTTGAAAGGTGGCTCAGTTGATAAAGTGCCAGCCACACAAAACTGGGGACCTGGGTTTTGATTCCCAGAACATATAAAAGCCAGGATGGTAGCAAGATTTTGCAATTCCAGGTCAGGAATACAGATTTGAAGGGGAATCTTGACCTGGCCATAGCTGAAAGAGTAATAGGTGTTTTTTGCAGACAACCTAAAAACTTGCCAAACTTCATTTTTTTAATATTTCCATACATAAAAGATATTATGGTCCAAATATTCTCTCACAGCATTCCTAAGTACAAACTCCAAACTCACAATTATAGAATCATACAAATAATACACTTGTACTTAAAAAAAAAAAAAAAAAAAAAAAAAAAAAAAAAAAAAACCTGTTATAAATAAATTCTCCCAATAATACTTATTAGAAAGCTGGAAATGTATTCTACTTCTTTTTTCATGTGTTGAATATTTATGTAAAATGCACTCTTGGCACTAGATCAGCCTCTTCTCCATGAAGGGCCCATTGATGACCCGGACTAGACCTTCTCTCCCCTGTCAAATAGAAGACTGCCCATTATTCAGTGGCCTTTTGTCACCATGAAGACAGGGAACTTTTATTCTTTAAAAAAAAAAATGGCCTTTTAGATTCAATAACAGCTTGTTCTGTTCCTCAGGAAACAAGGGATGATCGCGACAGGACACGGCTGGACTCCATGGTGCTGCTAATCATGAAACTAGACCAACTAGACCAAGACATTGAGAACGCCCTCAGCACTGCCTCTTCCGCATCCAGCACCCCAACGAACCTGCGGCGGCATGTCCCTGTGAGCTCCCTGCCCCCTGCTCTTTCTCCTGGTGGAATAGTTCCTCGCTGTGTCTGTTTGGCTGTTGTTATTAGTGTTTGTTTAGCTTTTAGTTGTTTTTTTTTTTCCAAAAAACTGGGGATTGACCCTCAGGTCTGCCCCACACTAGGAAAGCAATCTTCCAATTCATTTTATCACCAGTCCTTTGAGACACGGACTAAATAAGTTGGCCAGGTTGTCCTTAAACTCACTATGTAGCCCCAACTGGCCTTGAACTTACTATCCTCCTGCCTTCACTGCTCAAGAAGCCAGGATTACACGTCTGTGTCCTCCAAGCCCTGTTAGAATAGTTCCTCTTTATCTCGGATGGTCTCTCTTATAAGTGAAAATCTTTGATGATGGCATCTACTAATAAATGAAACAAAACCCCAGAGAGATCACTCAGTTGTTTTCACAAGTCACACAGAGAGTCCATACACACATGGGTTACAACAAAAAATAAAAACTTAACATTAAAAAGGAAACAAAAGGACCTTAGGAAATTCTGCTTCTTGGGGATTAAGCCCTCCTTGCTGTAGTAGTTTGTTTAGTATGACTATATTTACTGCTCTTCAATGACATGTTGCAGCATTACAAATGCTATGTCTAACTTGATAACTACATTATTCCCAGTTTTTCAAATTATGACCAATTATTTCTAAGACATAAATTCTTATTCTATAAACTTACACTGCATGAAAAAAAAAACATGTTTAGTAAGTCTTTTCTACATGGACAGATTGATAGAAGGCTGGGTGGGTGAAGGGATGACTGGATGGGTTGGGGTGGGTGGTTGGATAGCATATGGGTGCATAGATGCAGGTGAACTAATTCTGCATACTGCAAAAATAATTCAGATGTGGGTGACTTGCTAGCTCTCTAAAATATACTCTGAAAAATAATGAAGAGGACAGAAGTGAGAATTTTATCCCATTAAGTTTATATGACAGATGCTCCAATGAAATTCCAAAACTCAAAATAAAATTTAGAAGGAATAGATCATAAGATTAGTTCTACCAGTTTCATGTTAAATGGTTTGGTTTATGTAGATCTAGCATATATAGCATAGGGTTTAAATATAATTAAGCCACGTCCTGTTTCTATTAAATAAGGATTTGCATTCATTACAGAATAATAAATAAACTAAATAAAGAAATTTATATTTACATGAGATTCAAAATGTAGAATATCACATATACAGGTTGGAACACCTACTAAAACAATTCTTTTGTGCCTAGTTCCTTACTGAATATAGTTTCTCTATTGATTCTGAGGTAAAGGAGCAAGGATTAAGACAAGGTGAATGGTACTCAGTGTCTTCCACATATGTCACCACACATATTCCTCATAATGTTACAAGATGAGTAAGATGTATACAAGGTTTGGCACAAAAATAAACACAGACAGGTTTAATCCAGAGCTATAGATTTCAACCAGGCTACAATGAAAAGCTGATACCCTTAGAACAACAATCATCTTAATAATCATCCGACTGATATGAAACTAGATTTCAGTCTTGAAAGCTAATAAAAATGAAATTTTCATCTTTGGTAATCTTAATAATTTTTCTTATCCTTCCAGATGCATTGCAAATATTTTCTTTGCAGTGAGTTACACCTAAATAACTTTCTGGGAAAAAAAAAACCTAGTCCTTCTCTCCCTAGTGCTATCTTAGTTACTTGCACATAGTTTCATTTTAGCAAAGAAAGGGGATCCTAATGGGAGAAACGAAGCAAATGCAATGTTCTACCAGCCCACTAGAAAGGCTGCTTCAATTTGATTAGCATATGAAGAGAGGACAAAAGTTTCACACTCATTTTTCTCTAGCACCTTTAAAGGCAAAAATATCTTCTTTTTCATGAGGCCCTAGGTCTTGGTACCTCCTTGCCATTCATAGGGTCTAGAGTATTTTTTTTTTAAGTTTTCAGGGGTGAATTGTTACATTCTTGCCTGTTGTTCTGCTTCCTCCAAATTTTCTCAGTCCCCATATATTAAATAGAAAATCACAGTTGAGATTTCTATAAAACACCATGTCTTTCACTCCATTTCAAAAAATAAATTATCCCCTGCCTGGCTTCTTTATTATGCAGTAAAGAGAAACCAAACACATGAACTAATATACGTGATGACTAGATCACTTGTCTAAATCTATGTTTTGTATTTCTACATAAATTGTAAATTGAACTTTAATATTTCATACACTATCTCATGGAATATTACCATAATTATTACCATAATTGTTGCCCTATAAACATAATATCTGTTTCTAAGATCTCAATTTATCAATATATTTAGAATAAAGCAAAATAGGTCAGCAGAAACATTATAAATGTTAGTGACTGAAGGTCTGTTTTGGATCCATGCTCTATAACTGACCATCTGAGACCATAATAAAATTGTCTAATTTTTCAATGGTAGGCTCATTTCAGAGAGAGAGACACATAGAAAGATTAACTGATAAACTCATAGCTGGCTAGGGAGACAGATGAAAAGACATACAGAAGCAGACTTGTACAGATCTAGCCCAGAATATGCTTAGCCAATTGTTAATTCTCTTCTCTTTCCTTCTACACTGATATCAGACATTCAGCAAGACACAAACAATATATATCCCTGAGCCTCAAGACTACTTTTCAATCTTTAAAGTTTTCTGGGTCACCCTTGGTTTTTCTCTGCTCATTGGTTTTCAAAGTTAATGTTAATATCATTTCTCTGCACTTTCCATGCTTTTTGATAATTGTGCCATGGAATCAAAGGATTCTGATGTCATGATTATGACTTTGACCATTCACCAGGGAGCACTAACCCAGAGAGAGACAAGGGAGAAATTGCCTCAGTCCCACTCTCCCACTCCACCACGAACATGGTACACAATGAAACAATGACTCTTATGCTAACATGCCCACCCAGTTTAAGAATACGTACAAAATTCCCACAATGGGTTACCAATGTAAAAAGACTATAAATAGAGACAGATCCTGGGATGATGAAGAATAGCTTTCATGTGAAGTCAATCTTTAAAAAAGATGGGGTAAAGATTTAGATGAAACTGCCTAGAGAAAACCTAACAAACTAGCTATGCCCCGGTAGATTCTCCAAACCCCAAGATCTGATTTTGTACTTTGTGACCCCAAATCTTGACCATGTCTGAGTACCCCACTGTGTGCCAGTCCCTTAATGCCTCCTAACTAATGAGAACAATCTCCTAGAATGAGTGGCAGGTGGAACAGGGGGTGGGACTAGAGGAGAAAGCAGTGTCTGCTAAGCTTTGCACCTGTTGCTTTATTTGCTCTCTTTGTCCAGTGTTGAGCATTGCATGCCTCAGGCAGGATGAGGGATTTGTTAGAGGTCATGAAGATGGGGAGTGAGAAGTTTGTCAAGAGTCAAACAGCCTGTGAGAGTCACTTCTTCGTCTTTCAGAAAAGCCAGCTCTCATTCTGCCACGTTGTAAACCTTTCCAAGGCCTTTTCTTCGCAACAGCAAGGTATTCTGAGTTTGAGCCACTAACTGTGGTTCACGTGAACGTGTAAACAAGTCCACGTTCATAATATTGTTGGGAGACTTCAGCCACACTGTAAAGAATCTAAAGAAATGCATAGGCTAAGGCCAAGTCACTGGCCTTTTGATGGAGTTTGGGCAGTATTGAGTGTTTTTCAGCCTTCCTATTATTCCAAGTCCTTCCTATGGTTAAGACTATGCAGCACACCAGGCAGTGGTGGTGCACACCTTTAATCCCAGTACTCGGTAGACAGAGGCAGGTGGGTCTCTGTGAGTTCAAGACCAGCCTGGTCTACAAGAGCTAGTTGCAGGACAGCATCTAAAGCCACAGAGAAACCCTGTCTCGAAAAACCAAAAAAAAAAAAAAAAAAAAAAGACTATGCAGCACACTGTATACAGTATTAGTATTCGGGCATCTGTGCTGGCCTGTCCTTGGGGTTCTGACAGGATATGCTCTCAGCTGCAGCCACTAAGAGCCACCTGTGCACATTCACTTTTCAAAGAGCCCAGTCCATATCCCAGCCCCCCTGCCCCTCTTTCTCTCCTTCTCTGCCTGCCTCGCTCTCTCTTTCTCTCTATCTCTCCTCTCTTTTTCTGCCTCTCTTCTCTTCTGCTGCTCCTGTCCCCAGTAGGCCTGTCCCCCCTCTACCCTCCTCTCTTTCCCTATTCACTTTCCTCAATAAAAAACCCTCCCACTAGCCAGGCGTTGGTGGCGCGGTGGCGCACGCCTTTAATCCCAGCACTTGGGAGTCAGAGGCAGGCAGATCTCTGTGAGTTCGAGGCCAGCCTGGTCTTCAGAGCGAGTGCCACGATAGACTCCAAAGCTACACAGAGAAACCCTGTCTTGAAAAACCAAAAAAAAAAAACCAAAACAAAACAAAACCCTCCCACTCAAGCTCTGTCAGAGAGTGTCTTCCTCATGTGCACCACTTTTTAAAATTACGACATACAGTATGTCAGTATACAAGGTGGGGAGAGAGAGAGGACATTGCTCTCTTGCATTCCTGACATAAAAACAAAAGCTTTTCTTTATCTTTGGTCAAGCATCTCCCTACATTAACCCTTTTGGCACCCAAAGTTTCATATCCTTTTTACCTAGTTTGTCTTCCTTGAATTGTTTCTTGGCCACTTTTCCATCAACTAAATCTGTACTCCTGTCTTGGATCTGACATCTCAGAAGTAATGGCATTGTTCTTAACATTTGAGGTGGCTTTCCAGGTTGACTTTCACCACTCCTTGGATGTCTGCTGCTTCTCCCATGACCTCTTCATCAATTATGTTTTGTGGTCACCAACACCCCTCTTTCTAATTTTGCCCTTTATATCTTTTATCCCATTTCTTTGTTTAATTTCTCCCACTGAATCACTTTAAGTATTCTCCCTAGGAATCACCTGGGTTCCATTGCTTTCTTCTTAATGAATACGCCTTACTTTGTGATATGAAATCTGTGTAAAGAATGAATAGAAACATTCCCACTATTTTATGCCATAATAGAATGGTATGTGGATCTCTTCCATGGCTCATACCACTCTGGATAACCCACCACAATAGGAACTCCTCTGAGCTGTGTATGTTCCATCCACCTGACATGGTGAAAGCAAGGGGTAACAATGATACTGGAGAGTCTGATTGTCCTACAGGGCATCTGATGGATTACAAAAGCAAAAGTGGGAAGTGTAGTGATAATTGGGTCTTGTTCACCATTTAATTTGCTTAAGATGGTTAAGTAAGGAGGGAATGAGTGTGAGATCTCAGAAGAGTTGGCTGGTGATTTCTCACAGTAATGAGTGGAAAGGAGGATTTCTCCTAAGCTTCCTCCTATCCACTGCCCTATGAAATTGCTTCTTTAGTTGTGCTTCAGGCCCTCAGTAGATACTTTCTGAGGTTGAGCTTTGAGGTCAGGGTCTGAGATTTAATAGCAGCTCTGCCATGGAATGTGAGTTTAATCCAGAGATCTGCCTTGAGTCTGGGTGTCATTGTCTCTCCAGGGATGATAATAATACCTTCCACACAGGAGAGCAAGCTGAAACAGATATAGCTGTAAAATGTGATATGTGCAAAGTAACAACCCAAGACAGATACATTGCAAAAAAAAATACTATTTCATCTCATATTTATTATTGTGTGGTTAGAAAAATAAAGGATTACTCTGTTAACTACTTCATTAACTCATGGATAGGAAGGCAAAATAAATGCAAAAGACCCCTGTTATTTAAAAAAGACAAATTAAATAAATTACCTATCACTCATGGCAGAACGCTTAATGTTTATAAACTTTCTGGGTTTTTTTTGTTTTTTGTTTTTTGTTTTTTTTGCTGGTATCCATTTCATATGAATTCAGCTTGAAATTTAAGTGAGCCATCGTTTATTTAGGATAAAATATGTTTTTTTTATGTTTGACACAAACACATAAAATAGTCTGATCTGAAGTCAAGAAATTTGGTTACAATTATGTACATCACATATCCATGTGGGGGGGAAACACACACACACACACACACACACACACACACACACACACACACACACACACACACCTCTTAAAGAAAACAATGTCACTATTCATACTCATTTACATGCTCGCTATTATTACATTCCATCTGTGTTAAATGAATTTCACTACCATGGTTTGTAGTATCATAGGGAAAATCATTACTTTGATTGTGAACTAAGACTGGAAAGATGTTTTCATTTGGCATTTGAAAGTTCCAGTGAGGAAAACTGGAAGACACCTCCCCTTGCTACCCTTGTGACACTATGAGTTGCTGGTGGTCACATGAGGAACGAGGGCTGCTGGTGGGAGGACATGGGCTTGCAGGGGACACTCATGTGCCTCTTTTCATGGCCGTGCATTTGTTTTTTTAACAGGATCTGGAATCAGGATCTGAAAGCAGAGCGGATAGTATCTCAATAAATCAGACACAGGTGACTCTGTCTTCTAATCCTGACTCCACTGATTCATCATCCACTCCAGGGAGCAATTCTGGAACCAAACCCAAGGCCATGGTAAGTTGTAAAAAAATCCCAGAGCAACAGTCAGTGTTGCTGAACATGAGGGAAGCTTTGATTGCCTGCTGTTCAGTGTGGAAGGGAGACTATTGGAGTCTTAGCTGTATCAACTTGATATTATTTATGAAGCATCACCCTAAAAAAATGTATCCTGTTTATTTTTTTAATGGTTACATAACTAGTTCACTAAAGTAAGCCATGAATCCAGAATTATGCAGAATTCGATCCATGAATTCTGTTGCAGAACTTTAAACAAGCAAGAATGTAAAATGTGGAGATGAGTTTTCCTGTATTGTTATCCTGATCATAACCTATACTCATTAGAAAGTCTCTGAGCTTCGATGATAGATGGATGGATAGATGGATGATGTGCAGGACCTCAGATATATAAAATTTCCCCTCATATTATGTGGGTATTCAATGATGTAGAGCATGGAAAGCCTAATATAATGGAGTGTAAGCTACTGTCCTTGTTGCCCTGATTGACAGACTTTACAATGCCATCTACATGAATGGAAAGGAGACTTTCCACACAGAGTAACACAGCATGGTCAACTCTGAATAAAAGATGTTTTCCCTTAAGGAAAATGTGAAGTGCAGTGGGAAAATAGTGTTTGACTCTAAAAGGTAACATTTATGGGGGAAGTAATTACTGCTTCAAATATCTAAAGTCCACACAGTTCCAAAATAGCCTCTCCTAGTTGAGTGAAAATCACAGAGCCGTATTATTTTTTTAATCCCCATGTTAGCTTAACACAGAGAAATGAGTTAGGACTGTTTGTTTTCCTGTCTTTAAAATAAAGGCAGTTCTAAAATGGGACTAAAAGAATACTCTGAATTTAAGATGTAGATTCACTGGGATTTAAAGAGAATCAAAACACACTGTTGACATAGCAGGTGAGCCTGTCCTCAGTATTTACATAGGTAGGAGGTAAATTGCTTGCTATCATTTATATCCAGATCATTTGGTGATAAACATCTACTGAACATCTGCTGCATATTATGCACTATGCCAAATTGGGAAGAAAAATAAACTCCAAGAAATAGTGTGTTTTCCACATCTTTAAGTGGTTGTCATTTTAGCAAAGGAGGGTAGGCACTTAAACAGTAAAATGCTACCACATTGTGAGAGTGCTATATGTGCAGGAAATAAAAGACATGGACAATGTTGATTTGGGATACAGTAAAAAAAAAAAAAGACAGTTAACAGTAACATGTGTTAATAAGCAGACTCTAATGGAATGTTGTCATTTCACTTCATGATAAACACGCTTGGCTTAGCATTTTATAGAGGTTCTTTAATGTACTGTACAGGCATGTCATGCTGTCTTTGTGTCTTCAGTGGCTTAAGTCCTTCATGTATAATTTAATATAAATATGCTACATGAAAATGTTTGAATCTGGACACTATAGGTTCTTATGTTTCAGTTTAGTGCGATTTACTCTTATATGTTTTGATTGAAGGACAGCATTTATGGCATAAAATGTAGTAACATTAGGGTTAATGCGTTTTCTCATCTGTAGATATCTAGAGTCTTGCATAGTTGTAGGCCCATGTGGCTACTACCAAGGTCAAGACAAATTCTGAGGGACAGGGTGATGCTGGGTCTGGATTGTACACTCTTCTGTCACCTGTTTCTCCATCTGTCTGAAAATTACATGATTAAAAGTAAGTGGTGCTTACGGTTGTCTTTCAATTCATTTTACATTTTCTCTAAAGGCTTTGTTTGATATGCATGCTTACTTGTGAGGAATACTATTATAATTTGATGTATGTATGTAGTGTGCCATGATCAAATCACCATTACTGACATTTGTGTGAGAGCCAGCAGGTTGAGACAACAACCATAAGGCAGAGAGAGCTAACTGAGAATGGCTTGAGTTTTAAAGCCTCAAAGTCAACTCCTAATGACTCACCTCTTCCAACAAGGCCACACCTCCTGATCCTCCCCAAACAGATGTACCCTGGTAACAACTCTGTAATTGGACTTCAGAGCCACTCAACATGAGGGAAACTTGTGCCTGTTACTGAAAACCTAACCAATTTCCCAACACTAATAAAGTTTTGAATCTTGGAAAACAAACTACAACCACCACTTTACTAAACTAACATAATTTTTAACTTTTAACTAAATTTTAATGTTTATCATTATACCCAAAAAGAAGTATAGTCCCCATCCCTCTTCAGAAAAGATTTTCTAAAAAAAAATTCAGCCATTTATTACTGATACATAAAATTGCTTGTTCATTTTGTATTCTAGATCTTTACTGAGTTATTAGTTCCAACCATTCTTGGTGGGGTTGGTACTGTTTTCTCCATAAACAATCATGTCATCCTCAAACAAGGGTAACTTCACTTCCTCTTCCTTGATCTTGTTGCCTTTGTTTTTCTTGCCTAAAATCTCTGGCTAAGATATCCAGGACTACATGAACAAGAATGATGAAAGGAGAACCCTTGTTCTGTTCCAGGACACTATCTCAGTTTTTCTCTTCTTCAGACCCTTTTTGTTGTTGTTAATGATGATGATGATGATGATGATGATGATGACAATGATGACCATGATAATGATGATGTTTGCCTTACGGATGCCTAAAAATGCAAATGTTGGTTTAATCACTAAAACCTGTGCTTTTATGAAAAAAGACTAAGACTCGGATAAGAGGACAAGAAGATGTCTTATTTGTAAAATGTGTAACTGGGGGAACAGAGTCAGTCTAGCATTGTACTGTGCAGAATAACTGAAAACACCAGCATGACTGTGTGGATGTGAGAAGGTCGTTTATTTTCATGCCTTGGCAAGGAGCTTCTTTAGTTGCCTGGTACCGCAGAGATTCTAATAATGGTGATGGGAACTAGAATCCTTTAAGCAAGTTGTCACAGAACAACTTGGAGTATATCCTGAACAACCTAAGAGACCTTTAGAATCAACTGGTATACCCTGAGCAACCTAGGGACCTTGGAAATCCACCAGCATGAAGCTCGTAGTGGAGTGAACAGCCAGCCTTTGATTGAAGGTGTCACAAAAAGTAGGAATAATTAATCTTAAGTATGTGTAATTGCTATGGAGTGAAAAGGCCATCTCTAGGTTAATTCAGCTCAAGGTAACAACAACATCTGTAATTCAGTGAGTTGAATTCAACTTCCACTATTTTAATTATTACTGAAGTAAAGAAAGTATCCACTCAAGGAGGGGTGGGAGCTGATGATGGGCAGAATGATACCCACTCATATACCTGATTCCTTTGAAAAGAGATTGAGAACAGGTCCTCCCTAACACTGGTAAGAGACAGTCAAACCAAAGCCTCCACAGTGCATCTCACTCTGTGAGTCCATGCTCATTTCTGGATGGCCAGTGCATGGCCAGTCTTGGTATTTTAACTGTTTTGCTGACAGTTACAGAATGCATTTGCTCACTTTAAGTTTTTAGCAGAGGGAAAATTGTCTGCCATGATCCCAGAGCACAGCTGTTCACTCTAAGGTCAAATGAGAGAGGCCAGTCTGCACACCCTATTCATTTTCCCACTGGCATGATAGCATCAAATAATAACCTTTCTAGTCTGACACACGCTTGTCAATGGAGTTAGTCCCTCTAAAGGTTGTTGTACATGTTTTGAGGTAAAGGAGGGGAAGTGACTATGTGTAATATACCTAACATTGCTTTATTGGTTGGTTGGGTTTTGTTCATTTCTTATTTTTTCTTTCATTAATTTTTTAATTAATTAATTTCAATTAATTTTAATTGATTTTTTGTTAGTTTGGTTTTTGTAATTAGTATGCAAAGCATTAAATTTTATAGTGGTGTTTTTAACCAAATATATTTTGGTTCATTCTTCTGCCTGTATCCCTTCCTGCCCCTGTATCTTTTGCCCCACCTCATGTCACATTATGTCCTTTTGACCTCTTTCTCCTTCCTACCATGCTTTCTCAGTACTGGTTTTAACCTTCCCTTGGCCCCCCTTTCTAGTTTTTAAGCTTTGCCCACATTTACACACACACATATGCATATACTCACATATATAGGCATATGTACCAAAAGCTAGGATCCCCATATGCTAGAAGAACATATTTGCTTTTCGTTTTGGGCTTTTTATTTCTTTCTGAATCTGGGTTGCCTTGATAAATATAATACTTTTTAGATTGGCCCAATTTCCTGAAACTTTCATTTTTCTTTACAGCTTAGTAAAAATCCATTGTGTAAATGGACCACCATTTCATTATCCCTTCATCTGTTGATGGCCATCAAGGCTGGTTCCTTTCCTTTGCTATTGTGAAATACGCAGCAATAACATGAGTATAATGCGTGTATCTCTGTGGTGAACTGGGAGTTTGGGAGGATGCTCAGGAGTGGTACAGCTGAATCATCTGGTGATTTTGGTTTTAAGTGTCTGAGAAACCTCCATACTGATTTCCATAATGGCTGTCCTAGTTTACATCCCACCAGTATAGAATCATGTCTTCCTTTTTTCCCACACACTAGCCAACATTTGCTGTCAGTTTTCTCATGGGTAGCTGTTCTAGGAGACGTGTATTCAAATTGGATTGAATTTGCATTTTCCTGATGGATATGCATGTTTGGCACTTTTAAAGGATTGTCTTTATTTATTTGTGTGTGGTGGGTGTAAACATACATACAGGTGCCTACAGAAGCCAGAGTGTTTTGGATCCTCTGAAGCTGTATTCAGAGGCAGTTTCAAGCCATTTGGTGTTGTTTCTGGGAACCAAACTCAAGTCCCCTGCAAGACTAATAGTGTTGCTAACCTCTGAGCCATAACTCCAGCATATTAAATACTTTAAAAATCCTTCTTTTGAAACCATTGGTTCATTTCATCAGCCCACTTTTTTAATCTAGGCAAGGGTATACATGCCGTAATATTAGCACTTAGGAGGCTGAGACAGGAAGAGGTGAGTTCAAGGGAAACCCAGGCTACATAGAGAGACTATCTCATAGATAGATAGATAGATAGATAGATAGATAGATAGATAGATAGATAGATAG